AAGCAATCAACCCCCTTTGCCATGGCATCAAAACCAATAAGATACCTAGGAATAAACCTCACTAAAGAGGTAAACTAGGTATTTACCCAAAGGGTACAAAAATACAGATTCAAAGGGATACATACACCCCAATGTTTATGGCAGCATTATCAACAATAGCTAAACTATGGAGAGAGCCCAAATGCCAATCGACTGATGAATGGATAAAGAAGATGTGGTGTATATATATAATGGAATATTACTCAGCCATCAAAAAGAATGAAATCTTGCCATTTGCAATGACATGGATGGAGTTAGAGTGTATTATGCTAAGTGAAATAAGTCAGAGAAAGACAAATACCATGTGATTTCATTCATATGTGGAATTTAAGAAACAAAACAGATGAACATATGGGAGGGAGGGAAAGAGAGAGAGAAAGGGAAACAAACCATAAAAGACTCTCAGAGAACAAATTGAGGGTTGATGGTTGGAGGTGGGTGGGAGATGGGGCTAGATGGGTAATGAGTATTAAAGAGGACACTTTTTGTGATGAGCACTGGGTGTCGTTTGTGATGTCTCACTGAATTCTACTCCCAAAACCAATATTGCACTGTATGTTAACTAAGTAAATTTAAATTAAAAAAAAAAATAGCTACAGGATTCAAAAAGAAGAAGAAGAAGAAGAAGAAAATAAAGAAAAAGAAAAAGAAGCTACAGGATATCATTATGGGTGTCACATTGGCATACTGGCTGTAGTTGCTTCCCATGTGCTCAGCATGCCACATGCATGTCTCAGATTGGGCAGTCAGAGTAGAGAACCTGCATATAATCTCCTAATCACCTGATGAACTTTGCCTAGGATAGGATGCCAGGCAGACCTTCTGAGTCCTGTTTTATTTATGAGGAATTTACATTGAGAGTCGTGTAAGGACATAGGCCTTAATTTATTTACACTTGACTAAAGTAGAGGTCACACAATAGAAGAACTGCTACTAAACTGGCATTATATTGAGTACTTTGCTTTTAGCTTAACCACTTACCAATATTCCTTGACATTTTCCCCATTTTCACTCACTTGCTATGTGTCTAAAAGTGGCTTCTGTTCATGTTGTGAAAAGTCTGATTTTCGACTGCTTATAGTTGTGTAGTATGGTAGAGTTAAAGTCTCTATGCCTACTTGGGTTACATCCAAGCATTTATACATTGACTAAACTATCATTGAACTCTTTAAGGCTTCACAATGTAGAAATCCAGGCCAAAGGTTTTCATGGTTTTAGAGAGGTCAGTATACATACTCTTTTCAAGAGTTTCACAATGCCTCTCATTAGCAGGTATATATACACTGTGTAGTTAGTTTCATATATACACTGTGTTGGCGCTATATATATACATACATACATACACACACACACACACACACATACTGTGTAGTTACATATACATACTGTGTCAAGTCTATATGTATATACACACATATATCATATACATATATATACACAGTATAGTAATCATTCAAGCTGAAGTACATTAGGTGATACATTAGACCATCTTCAAAACTCTAATGATTTTTAAAACAGAAATAGCTTTCCAGAAGTGCTTTTCTTTAACCAAAGTGGAAAAATGCATTATATATATGTGTGTGTGTATATATATGTATGTATATATACATACATATATATATATACATGAATTCAGCAAAGTGGCGGGATATAAAATCAATGTGCAGGAATCCGTTGCATTTCTATACACCAATAACAATGAAGTAGACAAAGAAATCAAGCAATCAACCCCCTTTGCCATGGCATCAAAACCAATAAGATACCTAGGAATAAACCTCACTAAAGAGGTAAACTAGGTATTTACCCAAAGGGTCAATCAACCCCCCTGCCCAACCCTAAAAATTTTAAAATTTTTAAATTTTAAAAAAATTTATAAATTTTTTTATAAAAAATTATTTTTATAATCACATAAATATGTATACATATATATATGTGATTATAAAAATAATTCAGTCATTGAAAAGAAATTCATAATATACATAAAAGTATAAAAATAAAATATAACCTCTAATCCTTTGAAACTAGCAAAACAATGTGTGGAATACACTGTTATAAAACATATTGCTGAGCTAGAAACACTGTTAATTTTGGATTATATATTCTTTTGGGAATACATATTTATTTATATATTATTGACTTATAAGGCTTTTTTTCAGGAACAGAATATTACCCACCATGAATTATTCTTAACTGACATTTCCAAATTTATCTACAAACAATAAATTTATTGGAAAGCAGTTTGGAGGATGCACAAAAATTCAGTTCTTCTACATACAAAGTTCACAAAACATTCAATTGTCCCTGAAACTCTTTTTAGTTCACTGGAATAAATGATAGATGGCATTGATCATAAGAAAAAGCAGCTGGTTTCTCAGCACTAGACCGATTTCAAAGTAGCCCTGCTCTACTGTCACTTTCAGTCTCAGCTATATTAATAGAAAATAAAGTCATAAACTTTGTCTTGAAATTGGAACCACTTTTACGTTCATGGAGAAATGAGTAACTCCAGACCTTATCAACTACAAAAAAGTTATCAAACAGAAATTTAAGGAGACAAGAGGAAAGACACACAGAATCAATGAGTTCTTGACTAGTATCTCCCAGATTAGAGTGGAATATAATTACAAACTCTTTTGACACACTGATCAGTCATTTTAGGATCTGAGACTATTTTCTTTTGGCTTGGGTAAGAATTCTAATTTATATTGTCTAGGGATCCCCCAAGTGCCCCAATTTTATTAGATAACTTTGACAGAGAAGAGGTAGCAGTTTGAAGCATGTTTGTTTTCTTTTGCTTTGTGATCAAGATAGATAATTAAAGATCTCAAGGGGCCTTTATATTAATATAAGGACTTCTAAGAGAAAATTTTTTAACTTTTCAATTAAAATATAACATAGAAACTGTAAAATGCTCAGCTAAAAAGTATATAGTCAGTGAAATATCACAAAATGAACATATCTCTATAATTATTACCCAGATCAAGAAAACAAAGGCCCTTTTTTCCAAGAAAGGTAACATTCACAGGTTATGGGGATTAGGCCATGAATATATCTTCGATAGGCCATTTTTTTTTAAAGATTTTATTTATTTACTTCACAGAGAGAGCACAGCAAGAGAGGGAACACAAGCAGGGGGAATGGGAGAGGGAGAAGCAGACCTCCCGCCGTGTGGGGAGCCCGATGCAGGGCTCGATCCCAGGACACTGGGACCATGACCTGAGCCGAAGGCAGACGCTTAACGACTGAGCCACCCAGGCGCCCCTGACAGGCCATTTTTTAAACCTATCACACTATTCTAGTCTGAATGAGCACTTATTATAGTAGCTATATTATAAATACTTCTGCTATGATTATTCTGCTTTGTTGGTAAGGGCATACATGCCCATTGGATATAAAATTAGGAGTGAAATGGGCAGGCAACTGGCTACTTATGTTCATCTTTAGTAGATGATTCCAAACACTTTTTCAAAATGATTTTAAATCATCCTCACAATTATAATGATTTCTGAAAGGAATCTATTTAAAGTGCCCCCCCCACCCCAACCCAGCCAAGCTTACAGAAAAAACTCACAGGTGTCTGTATTTGGCCCTAACTCTTTGTTTTTCTAGGTCATGGTGCCCTCCATTCTTAGAAAGTAGACCCCAACTACAAAACATATCCTCTAGTCTGACCGCAACCCACAACCTGGATGAGCCCCAGACAGAGCCCTCAAAAAACCAGCCTCTTCCTTCTCTACCTGGCTAAGAATTGACCCCCTCCCCACACTCCAGCCATGGGCACAGATTCAACCTTCTCACATCTTGCAAAACCCCTTAAAAGGCCCAGCCTGACAGAAACTCAGGGCGGACATCTCCCTTGATGTTGGCCCCTCTCCTCCCTTGGAGAGTGAATAAACTGTCCTGCTTGTTGCTCTACTCTTTGTGCAATTCTTCACCACCCATGTCACTGGCCACCCTAACATTTTCTAAAACAGAAGTAGCTTTTCAGGAGTAGTATTTTTAGGCCATAACAATGTGTGTGTTTAGTTATCCTATTCATAGTAAATATATCTGCTCACAAATGACATATTCCTGCAAAACAGCAGAATAATGTGTGGAATATTTTGTAATAAATTTTGTAATAAATACATATTTCTGATTAAACAGGCTGTGGATGGAGAAGATGTTTGGTTACAGAGAAGGAGAAAAGAGGAGGAAAAGACAGAAGGAAAAAGAAGGAAAAGATGATGATTCTGCCAAACTTCTCTGAAACATGCTGGGCATGCCATCTCAGCAAAAAGTGGCATCACTATAAAAGTAACAGCTCTCCTCAGCTACAAGGGGTTGATGCTGCTCTCCTTCAAGTTTGTTCATTACTCCCACAATGAAAAGGGTTCCTACATTGGAGAAGGATTTTTTCCTAAGTAGCTGGTCCAATCAGTGATCTAACTCTGGTGTTGAGGTTCTGGCTGGTGCACCTCAAGTAATATGCAAAGGCCCCTCTAACTACCAGACTCCAGGATGTCCCGAGAACTTGAACCCTTCAAAGAGCACTCAGGGGGAAACTTAGATCAGGCAAGTCAGAGCCTGTATACTTCCTAATATGAGCCTTTTTTCTTAGATTATGCTGTATCTATCAACTCTGTTGGTTTTGAGGGCCTTGGAGCTACAATAATGACAAAAGGCAAAATGCAAGTCAATTGCTTTTAATAGTGGGTTTTAACCAACATGATGCCACAGTCATAAATTGGAAAATTCCTTAACCTAAAATGAACTATCTTTGAAGAGTTTTGGAAATGTATTATGGGCACATTCAATTTTACAACAATCTACTCACATGCAATATTCACCATCTGGAAGCCAATGTCACAGGCCAAATTACCTGTTGTTTTAATTTCACAGTTTGGACCTTAGGACCAAAGATGAATATGCTATTTCCAGTTGGCCTTACTTACAAGGCACCAAATCTGTTCCTAGGGAATGGGGCAAGCTGAGGAAAGACCCAGAGTTCAAGCTGTACCCACAGGCAGTACCTGTGGTTACCATCAATGATGTGTCATGAAGTAAATATACAAAGTTAGGGATGAAAGGGGAAAAAAATACCTAAATTATAGAAATTGAACATTCCTAAAAGCCTAAAGGTGTATTCCTAAAACCGTCACAACCCTGCTAGGAGCCAACCAATATCACCAGTTTCACAATTCCTTTCTAGGATTTTATCATGGATATCTGAGCCCTAAATAATATAATTTAGCTTGGCCTGCTTTCAAACTGTAAATGGAATTACATTGTATGTATTATTTTGTGTCTTGCTTCATTTGTTCAATAGATATTTGTAAAACTCATCTAGTCCGTTGTGTGTATTGTAAACTATAAATATTGAGCTGTATGAGGATAACAATTTATTCATTCTATCATTGATAAGTATTTGGATTTTCAGGTTTATCTTTTATGAAATATTTTTAAGGATTTGTTGATCATAGGTATAAAACTCCCTTGTGTAATAAAGTCAGAAGTGGAATTCCTACGTCATAGAGGATTTGTATCTAGTCTTTCTGGATCAGGTTTTTTTTTTTAAAGATTTTATTTATTTGACAGAGAGAGACACAGCGAGAGAGGGACTACAAGCAGGGGGAGTGGGAGTGGGAGAGGGAGAAGCAGGCCCCCCGCCCAGCAGGGAGCCCGATGCGGGGCTCGATTCCAGGACCCTGAGATCATGACCTGAGCTGAAGGCAGACGCTTAACGACTGAGCCACCCAGGTGCCCCTGGATCAGGTTTAACATCATTTCAGTCTCTCTTACAATCTACCTACTTATCAGCAGAATATGACTGTACTCCACATCAGACATCAGAATTTTTAACTTCTCTTAACATGGCGACTGTGTGCTCATATCTCATTGAGATGTTAATTGCATTTTCCTCACACAGATCAGATAGAACATCTTTCCATATGCTTGTTCGCTAGTTCTTTGTCCTTTTTTGTGAAAGGGCTGTTGATGTCTTTATACTGGGTAGTCTGTCTTTTCCTTGATTTGTATGATTTCTTAATTTATTCTGGACATGAGTTTTTGTTGGTTTGATGATTTGACAATGTCATTTCCCATTCTGTGACTTGCTTCGTTAACTCTTCTTATGGTGTTTTTCATGAAAAGAATTTTTTAATGTTAATGTCATCTAACAACATTTTATTTTATGGGTAGTGGAGCCTGTGTGTGTGTGTGTTCTGTATGAATTATTTTTCTTGTACTAAAATATTTATCATTTTCCCTTCCACATTTAGGTCCATAATCCACTGAGATTTTTTTCCTCGTGTGGTGGAAAGTACAAGTGTAAAGTATTTTTCTGGAGGATCACTCATTTTGTCATCAATTTCCCCACCCTTATGAAGGGTTACTCTGTCATCTCTTACTATTTGTTTTAAAGATTTTAAGTATACCCAACATGGGGCTTGAACTTACAACCCTGAGATCAAGAGTTACATGCTCTATGGACTGAGCCAGCCAGGCACCCCCAGGGTTACCTCTGCCATAAGTTAAATGTCAATATGAGTATACCTGTTTGGGGGCTCTCTCTTTCGTCTATTTACTCACCCAGATGCAAATATTACAACATATTACTTACTAAAATTTAGTAAGTTTTTATTTCTGTTCTAACCAATCCTTCTAGAATGTACTTCAAAAGTACATTTGACTTTACTTGATCATTTGTGTTTCTATATACATTTTAGAATCATCTTATACCCCAAACAATGGTTTATATTTTCACTGGGATTACACTGAATCCATTAAAAAATATTTCTATCAGCTTTACTTTGAAATCAACATTTATATTCATTTTGAAAATTTTTAACTGGATACAGAATTTTGGGTTGCCTTTCGTTCTTACTCAGTACTTAAGAGATGTTTTTACACTTTCTCTAATTTCTACAGCTTCCAGAAAGAAATCCCTCACATCTTCCATTTGTTTCTCTATATGTAATGTTCGTGTTTCTCCAGCAGCCTTCAAGATTTATTCTTTATATTTAGATTTCATTACTCTGCCTATAGTGTGCCTAATTGTGTTTTTCTTTGTGTTTATCCTGTTTGGGCTTCCCTGAACTTCTGGATCTGTGGGTTATTGTCTTTCAGTAATTCTGGAAAGTTATCAGTCATGATCTCTTTCCTTTCCATTTCTTCTTTTGATATTCCAATTACATGCACAATAGTATATGATTACTGAAATTGTGCTTTTCATTTTTAGCATTTTCCTCTAACTCTATCAGAGTTTCCATTTCTCTATTGAACATACATATGTACTTATGTGTGTACACATTAGATCCCTTTACCCAATAATCATAGTGTTTTAAAGGCCCTGTCTGATTGTTCCAACACTTGGGCTATCTCTGTTTCTGGTGCTTGTTTTATCTCTTCACAATGGATAGTTTTACTTGATTTTTCTGTGTATCTCATTTTTTTTATTGAATGCTAGGCACTGTTTAAAAAATAGTTGAGATTGAGATAATATTTATTCCTGGAAATAGGACCTCTTTTAGGTTACAATATTTGTGGCAAGCATTGATTCAATGCAGTTGTAGTTCAGTTGGCTCTGGGTTTTGCTTTTTCTATAGCTGCTTCAGTGTACCAGAAGCCTCAGATTTCCCCAGTGCAATTCTGCTACTACATTGTTCTTTATGTAAGGCCTGAAATGCCAGAAGGTTTGTCTTGGTATTACTGTTTCTCTCCCAGTTTTAGCAGCCCTGACATATCTATGTCACATGGGTCTTTTCTTTAGGCTCTTGTTCCTACCCCAGTGATAGGCTGCTGTTACTTGTAACCCAGTTCAAGGTTCCTGGTGAAGGCATGGGTTATCTGTGTTCTCCAGGTATTGCTGTGCAACCACAAATTGTGGAATGCTCAGGTGGCCCGTCCAGCCTAGGGAGCTCCCTCATGTCTCATGCCCCCCACCAAACCTGCCTGATGGAGGCCACTTTCATGGTCTTTCACCAAACCTTGTGTAGCAAGATATTACAAAATAAGACTCTTTGTGTCTGAGTATTTTCACTAATCCCCAAGGTTGAGCACAGTAGGTGCCAAAAAACCCACAATTTCTAAAACAAGATACTAGACCATCTTTTCTGGAGTTCAACTAATAGAATATGAAAACACATCATTTCAATTAAATTAAGCCTCATCAACCTCTATCAGTTTAGGAAACCATTTTGACAGTTCTTATTTTACCAATAATACACTTCTGTGACTGAGACTTATCGAATATAATTTTAAAAGATATTCTTCCTTGCAACAATTACAAACCACGGAATCTGGAAGAAAGTTCAAATTTATTTTTTCTTTCATTACCACATAATAATTTTTAAAAATCTTGTTTATATTAAAAAAAACTAAATAGCTTGAGATACTTTTATTTTTCTAGAGTGACATCTTTATAACCTCATAAAAAAATGAAAAACAAAAACATAAGTGGGGGTACATTTCTTGGATCCAGTTAGGAGAGAAAAGACTATCCTTATTCATGTGCCCACCCTCCTCCTACGTCAATGTCTGTGTCCCAGAAATTACAGGGCCACTATACATAGTCCAGCTTGGGTTCAACACTCCTAATGGCCAAGTTTAATGTCAGGACCCATAAAAATCTGTCTCTGATATCACTGTATACACTTTTAGAGTTATAACAGATATTTCACTTCTAAATATTATATAGTTGTCTTTTGCAAGATGAGTTCATACAATCCCGCTAGAGATTATATTTTTCTAGGTACACTTCCAGCTTGGTGTGGTCATGTGATTAAGTTCTATATATAATATGAACAGAAGTATATGTATGTCACTTGTGGATCTGGGCCTGAGAACTTTGAACCTGTACTCCATGAATCTCTTTTCTTTCCTACTGTCTGGATCACAAATGTGGCAGCAGTCAAGTTTTGATCTTGCAGATGAATACAATGACTTAGTGGGTATAGAACAACAAGATGCAAAAAACCTGCATCCCTGAATGATCTTGTGGAGGAATGTTTCCATTCAAGCCAAGAGCAGAAGGACTATAGCATGCCTTCTAAGCTGTACCAAGAGCCTCCTGAATAAGCTTTCTCCAGTATCCCCTCTCTATTCTACCTCTTCTCCTGCCATCAAAGTGATGGACCTCAAGCACAGCTCTGAACATGCCTAATAATCTTCAAAGACTACATGCCCCCAGGATAAAGTCTCTGACCGAGATTGCAATTGATCTTTCAACCTCA